GGATTGAGGAGGGTGACAGAGGGGCCCCATTTGTGTAGTTGGAGAGGCTTGCCCTGTTTCATTCAAGCTTTTCCTGAATACCAGCTGCTTGATTTTTAGTATTGGAACCTGGGAATGCAGACCAAGCCCTTGAGGGGAAAAGGCTCATTTTTCTCTTATTGATCTGAGATTTAATAGAGCAGCAGTTATGTCTTGTTCGGACTGGAGCATGCCATCTTTTTTTGACCCCAGCCCCTTAGGAGAACCGGTTCCCCCCGCCAGCCAGAGCCTGCATGGCTGCAGGTGCACAGAGAGGGCCGGGAGTGGCAGGAAGTGATGTGGGCGCCACTGCTGATGGCTGCTAGCCTGGGGATGGGGCAGGGCGCAAGTGGGAGCGGCTGTGCCTTGTGTCACCTTCCCAGCCCTGATGGCAGCCTCAGTGAGGGGCGGAGGGGACATCTGGGGAAGCCCTCACCGCCGCCCTTTCGAGCCTGAGATGGAATCAGAGTGGCTTTGTCTCTTGACCAACCAGGCCTTTGCTACTCCTGGGGAGCGGGCAGCCCTGAACCCTCTGCTGGAGAAGGTGGGGCTCCCCCACACCAGTCGGGCCAGGCCACCTTCCCTCCTCCCCACCTTCTGCCTCAGAGCAGAGCTGACCGGCAGCCTTTGGCCTCCCCTCTGGAGGGCGATGGACCCATGTTGCCCCTGTCCCTAGGCTGTGGGTGGAGGACAGGAGGCTATTCCGGCATGCTCTTCTCGTTTCCTTTCCAGCCCCTAACTTCACAGATGCTTAATCAAGCGGGCAGTATTTACCAAGGGCATGTGCACACTCATCCTTCAAAACTCAAAACTCTTCAATACTCTGTTTGCTTGTCACTCCCGCCGAGCAGCCGAGCACCCCTTTGCCTTGGCAGCCCCCGAGCAAGCTGTGGTGCGTTGCTGGCGCGCAGAGGCCTGGGCCCCGCCCTGTTCATTCAGGTCCTCCAGCCCAGAGCCATGCTTCACAGGGTGTCCCACGGGTGACGGTTAAGTGGATTAGTAAATCGGGGTGGGGTTCAAGTGGGGGATGTCAGGCTGATGCAGGCAAACACAGGCACATCCATCTGATTGGAAGTGGGGTGTCATGGGGAGCCTTGGGAACAGCCAGTTGCGGTCAGCTGCTCGCTGAGGCTGAAGGGTCGCCCTTGCAGCCCTGCGTTGCCCGGCAGAACTTCCAGGGATGGTGGAAAATGTCCTTTATCTGTGTTGTCCCGCATATTGCCACCAACCAGATGTGGCAGTTGAGTACCTGATTCGAGCTTAGCATGACTGAGAAGCTGTTCCATTTTATTGAATTGTCATTCAACTCTTTGTGGCGCCGAGGATTGAACCTGGGGCCTTGAACATGCTAGGCAAGTGCTTTGCCACTGAGCGAAATCCCCAGCCCCTGATTCCACTTTAAATAACAACCTGTGGCTTTTGGCTGCTGCATTCACATAGAGGAGAACTGTGCAAGGTTTTAGAACAGGGTGCGAGGGGTATCGCTAATAACAGACAGTGAGTTATGTGTGGGTTGCTTCTCATGAGTGTCTCAGTTCATCTTCACAGCAACCCTAGAGGGTAAATATTATCCAGTTTTACAGATGAGAACATCTTGCGTGGACAGGCTGTGAACAGCTTGCCCGGGACCCCTCTCAGGCCTGCCTCCCACAAGGCCTGTGCCTTAGCGTCGTGCCCGCTGCGTGAGTGTGGGCTGGGAACAGTGCTTCAGGAACAGGACGTCAGTACAGTGCGGGTGGTGGGGGTTGGAGCACCCAGGAGGACTGGGAGCCCTAAGTGACTACAGGGTGGAGATGATCGTCCATTGTTAGGGCTGTCAACGTGAAAAGCCCAGTCTGGTGCAGGGCTCTCACGGACTGATGTTTGTATCCACCCAAAAATGTCTGTATGTTGAGGCCTTCACCCCACTGGGATGATATTTGGAGGTGAGATCTTCGAGAGATAATTATGGTTAGATGAAGTCATGACAGCAGAGCCCCCGTGATGGGTCTGGTGCTTTTACAAAAGAAGAGACCAGGGGGAGAGCCCTCTGCAGAGCCCAGCCGTGCTGCCGCCCTCCTCTGGAGCTTCGGGCCTCCAGAACTGTTGGGGGAGGTTTGCCACCAGTCTAAGGCAGTCTTGTAGTAGGAGACGGAGCAGACTGGGTTCCCCTGGCTCTGTGTGTAGCGGAGGGTGGCAGCCAGGCTGTGGGGAAGCCTGCAGAGTGTCGGTGGAGGCCGCTGGGCCTGGACTTCCTGTCTGTGGCTAGAAAGCTCTCCTTTCCCTCCTGAGAGATAGCTCAGGGAAGAGCCAGACTCTGACCTGGAACCACAGCAGGAAACAGGTGAGCAGGTCCCTGCCATACCTGCATCCACAGTGAAACCTGTGCCAGGGTCAGCTTATGTCACCTTCTCTGCTGAGGCAGTTGCAAGCCACCAGCCGTCTGGGCAGAAGCAGCTCCCTTGATGGTCTGGGCCCTAGCCGAGAGAAGAGGGTGGAATCACCTTCCTGAGCTCTGGAAGACCCTGCTCTGTTACTGACCAGCTGAGACTTGGGGCAGGCGTGACATCTTTGCACCTGCCTTTCTCCATCTGTATTTATCATGGGAATTGTAACATCCGCCTCCTTCATACCTGTGGCCAGGGTGCCATCCCTGGGACACCCGGTCGCTTCCTAAACGGTGATTTGGCGTTTTATTCCACCTCATTTTCAAGACCACAGTCTTAGTCAACAACCTTGGGAGGAGAAGAATGCTCTGTGTGCTTTAGGGCAAGCTGTGAACCCCGTAAGTGTATCGGGAATGCAGCGGGAGAATCTAGCCTCTGTGAAGGCCACACACATTTTCACATTCACATGTGTAGAGGAGACAGTAGGAATTAGCAAGGAAGACAAAGCCCCCCACTGTCAGCGCCCTCTTCCCTTCTCCTTACCCAAGGAAGAGAGGCCAGGGTGTGTGTCTTGAAGCTCCTGTTGTGGGCTGATGGAGATCCTGCCCTGGAGGGAGGAGGATGGGGGGGCGGGGTTAAGAAGAGGCAGCTTTCAGAGGAAGGTCAAATGTGGTGGCTTAGGGTCCAAGGAAATAGGCTGCTGGTCCCTGGAGAGGCTCACTCCTAGCCTGGCCAAGACCCCAAACCCTCGATCCAGGTATGGTGATGCATACCTTGTAATCCCAACTATTGGGAAGGCGGAGGCAGGCTCAAAAGTTGGAGCAGGCTGGGCAGCTTAGTGAGACCCTGTTTCCAATAAAAAGAAATTTTAAAAAGGTCTGGGCCGAATGTGATGGTGCATGCCTATAATCTCGGCTCGAGGCTGAGGCAGGAAGATTACCGAGAGTTCAAGGCCAGCCTGGGCTACATGGTGACTTCAAGGGTAGCCCGAAATACATAGTAAGACCCCATCTCAAAAAACCAACCACCAAACTATTTAGTTAAAATTAAATTTTAAAAAGGTCGGAGGTAGCTCAATGGTAGAGCATTTTCTTAGAATATACAAGGCCTTGGGCTCAGAACTCCAAACAAATAAAATAGAGACCCCAAACCTAAGGCTTGCACAGAGGTGCCCCCCAACCCGCTTTGAGGGACCACGAGAGCTGGGAGGGCAAGCAGGCAGCAGTGGACAGCATGCATGGACAGTGCCTAGGAGACCCTCCCCTGGTATGTGGGGCCACCAAAGACCCCAACTCCAGGGTCTCCCTGAGAGCCGGACAGGGGCGCCTGTGATGACTGGGACCTGCGAGGGGCTTTCCTGCCAGCCCGGACAGATGGGAGCTTGGAGTAGAGTCCTTTTTATTTGGAGAAATTAAAGAGAAGTGACATTTCTCACACCTGAGCCTTGGGTGGCAGCCAGTCTGTACCCCTACAAATGTGTCATAGCCTCCTTTCCCTGAGCTCTCGCTCCCTCCTTCCTGCAGCACTGGGCTCAACTACCCAATCAGGCTGGTGACACACGCTTCGGGAAGCCAAGTTACTGACATTTTCCTCTCCGTGGAGAGGTGTGCTTCTTGCTCAGCTGGCAGCCTGCAGAAAAGGCCAAGTAACAGATCCAGCCCTCCCTCGGCAGGGCGGGGAGGCTGGAGAGAGCCCCACCCCTGCTCTGAGCCCCCTGAGGAGGAGATGCATCGCCACCGCTAAATCACAGGCCTCCGGCGGGCTGAGAACCAGTCTTAGCCCCAACAAATCCACCCCTGCCTCAGTGTGTTTATCCTGGCCTTCCTTACCATGGCTTGTTGCTGTGCCTTTAGGAGAAGCAAACTATGTATTTAGAAGTTAGGAACTTAAACAACTCTGCAGAGGGAAAACACGAGACTCTGACTTCTGCTTCTATATGTGTCCAGAGGATATAATATAATTGCTCCAAAGCCAACCCTGCACCCCAGCCTTACTGACCATGTGATCTTGCGCAGATTCTCAAACTCCCAAATTCCTACACATCCCAGATTCCTTACCTGGGGAATGGGCCCGGTGCTACAGGATTTGGGTCCTGGGATCATTAAGGGGGGGGGGGACTTGGCAGTGAAGCCCACATTTAAGCTGTCACTGGTATTTCTGAACACTGCAGCATCTTCTAACCTGTCGTGCCCACGTGTGAGTCATTTGCATGGTGATGTAGGAGTGCATGGAGGACAGTACATCCTGCTCTGATTTCCAGGTAGCCACACAATCTGCCACATGAAGGCCGTAGCACATTCTGTTTGCCTGAATCTTCCCAGGGTATTGGTGTTTGAGTTATTTCCAGTTCTTTGCAGCTGAAAATGATGCAGCTGTGACTGTCAGCGAGCTTATTTTTTGGATATGGTCCTAACCCAACTTAATTATGGGGATGGAATCTATCCACTGCGCCCCAAAGCCCACCAGGGCTTGCTGGGTGATTTATACCTTTTGGGTGATCTGTCATAGCTGGAAGCAAAAGCCACCCATCCCTTGGAAGATGCCCCTTGGTTACAGTTATCCCAGCCCCTCAGCCTGGAAGGAAGTATTGACACGCGTGTGTCCTCTCTCTTGTAGAAAGTCTGCACCAAATGTGGGATCGAGGCCTCTCCTGGTCAGAAGCGGCCCCTGTGGCTGTGTAAGATCTGCAGTGAGCAAAGAGAGGTAGGGGCCCCCGCGGCAGGGAGGGTGGGCTGGGTGGCGTCTGGACAGCATGGATATGGGAGGGGTTGGTTCCTGGCAGGGGCTTCCCTGGGAGGTCAAGGAGGAACCACCTGGGGGTCCCAGGGAGAAGGGTGGGGAGGGACAACTGCTGGCTTTTTATCTTCCCTGTGCGGAGGCGGGAGTAGGCCCGGTTCTGCGCCTGTGAGGCTGTGGTTTGGGTGGGCAACACTGACTGGGTGTGCAGGAGGCGTTTGCAGCGGCTGTCCCAGTAGCTTGGCCTGAGTCAAGGGTTTGCTAAGCTCTTAGTACTTAGTTCCCCACATCTATGAATTTCTTCCCTGCTTACATAACCCCGTAGGTAGATACCCTGCTTTCCTGGTGGGGAAACGGAGACACGAGAGGCTAAGTGACTGGGACACTGAGCTAGTGGGGTGTGGGGCTGGAGACCAAGGGCAGCCATTGCCTGCCATGATACTGCCATCCCCAAAGCCCCTCCTGGTGCTAGGTTCTGTAACCCCAGTTACCCCACTTAGGAGAGGAGTTGAGAGTCAGTGAGGACTCTAGGGAGTAGCAGGCGGGGTGGGTGGAGCCTAGAGCTATTTTCCCTACCCCAAGTCCAAGGCCTTCCTCACTGCACCAAGATCAGGATGGAGGACCGGGGATATAGCTCAGTGGCACATCCTGCCTGGCAGGCGTGAGGTCCTGAGTTCGATTCCTGGTACCAA